ACATCCTAATAGAAAATTAAACATCTTATCATCTTAATCATTCAATGAGTAAATTGTCCCTCTCCTGTAGACTCGCCTGTCTGCAGCCAAACAATCGAACTCACAACAGCTGTCAAATGCATCAAATGTTCCGAAGCCAGCGTATTGATTGGTAAGATCAATTCCAAAGTTACATTAACAAAAGCAACACTTTCATTTGTTGCTATGTTCCACAATTTCTCACATCCAGTAATTATTGCCTCATAATAATACGCACTCTCAGTGAATGAACCATGAAAATGAACCTTGTTTGGTGAGTGTCCTCTGGAAGAGTTTCGCCAATTCCATATCAATTCCAAAACCACCGGCATGATCCAAGAATTCAACAACCGTTACCTGTGCGCCAAGACGTGACCATACGCTACCCTTCAATCACATCAATTATTCAATCTTTTTTCTATTGTATCATACTTCCTTTACTTATATTCAACTGGCCTCCTTTAAACGTGTATCAATCTCTACCGAATCTTCTGTTTCTCTTCTCGTTCAGTCAATTACCTCATCAGAATCATACGAAATTAGAAGGGTTCAATAAGATTTGAAATACTTATGAAAATTATACTGACAATGAGGATAACAGAAAATCGTCTAAACTGATCAACCGCAAGAAAACAACAAAATGAATTTATCGATGCAAATACTGCCGTACCAATTCCGAACCAATCACACCAGCTCCAATGACCACCATCTTCTCGGGTACTTTTTTCAACGACAATGCACCAGTTGATGAAATTATCTGCAATCCAGAACGTCACCGATCCAAACGATAACAATTTCACGATGTGCCAATTTCACAAATCATTCAGTGAACAAACCTGCTCCTCGTCGATCTCAATGCCAGGGAAAGGTGTCACCTCAGAGCCGGTAGCGATTATAATGTTTTTCGTTTTCACACTTTCGGTCGATCCATCATTTTTCTTGACGCTAACCTAAAGCAGAAAAAACGCTTTACTCGATCTAACAATGAGACACATATTTTGTACAAAATTTTGCCGTTAAATTTCAACATCAAATTCTCATAATAATATATTTCAAACTGAAACTCTGATGGAGCTGACTTGAAACAAGAAAATTGAACAATGTGTAGACTAACCTCGTTAGGACCAACGATCGTACCAGTTCCAGTGATCGGCTGAACTTTGTTGGCTTTGAAAAGAAGTGCAATACCGCCGGTAAGGGCCTTGACTGCATTTGCTTTGGCGGCCATCATCTTGTCAAGATTCAGTGTCGGTTGTACTTCAACTCCTAGAACACGAACGCAACCTCATCATCAAAAAGTTCACCGCAACATAATTACTCCAGAAATTCAAGAGAATCACCCTCTTAATTCATAGTTCCACTGAATGAGTGAGTTAGTCATCAGGAAAATTTATTTTCAGTTCATTGAAATGTGAACGAACCTCGGTTATTCATATCACCGGTTTTGGCCATACGATAGAGATGTGAATTGTTGAGGAGTGATTTCGACGGG